TGTGGTTTTGTGTCCCCAGGTAACATTTTTCGCATTGAGGTCACCTGCAATTATTACCGATGGCTTATGCCCGGGTAACTTGAAAATGTCTGGTTTTTTGACCTTCATATTTGGAGGGCAGTAGACTGACGTGACCGTTAGTGCTCTTTTTTGCTTGGTTTGCAGACTTATGGTGATTGATTCTGCAGTTGAGGTGTTTAAGCATTCTTCAGCATAGTCTACTGTGTTTTTTATCAGGATGGCCACTCCTCCCTTTCTCTTGCCTTCCCGATCTCTTCTTATTAGTGTGTAGCCTGGTGGCGTGGTAACTTGTGCTTTGTCGTTGAGGTGCGTTTCTTGAAGTAATACTACTTCTGGTTCATACTTTGATGTTAAAAGTGATAACTCGTTGGCTCGTTTGGAGTAGCCGTTTACATTCCAGCTTATTATCTTTAGGATGGCAGACATTCTTTTATCAGATTAAGCACAAGGGTTTTCATATTTTCCTTAAGCCATTTTGCTAGATTATCTTTAACCCACTGAATGAGTGTTGCGATTAAGGGTTTAACGGCTTCTTTCAGTGTGTCCGTTAACATTTTCATGATATCTTTAGTGTCGATGAGTTCTGATAGAAAGTTCATGGTACTTTTGGTGCTGTTTTCTTCGCCTTCCGTTTCGTTGTGAGTTTTTTCTGGGTTTTCTTGGTTGGTTTTTATTGGTTCCTTGGGTCTGAGTGATCTTAGAAATTTCTCTATGTCGTTATCACTCTTGCTAGGGGTTTTTGGTGTGTTTTGTCTTCCAGTTGGGTGTAGGGTTTCCTTCAGCCAAGGGTTCTGGTGAGTTGGTTTTGGCGTCGCGCTAGGCGTTCTGCCTATGTTTTGTTTCTCTTTGACTTTCTTTTCTTCTTCCTTGTAGGTTGGACAGCCTCGGTATGTTGCTGGGTGCTCTCTGTCTTTTTCACAGTTGGGGCATTTTGGAACTGTGGATGTGCACTCACTAAGTGGATGTGCCATGCTGCATTTAGGACATTTGGGTGACTTGTAGCAGGAAGCCCTGGAGTGGTGATACCCCGAGCACCTCGTGCAGATGGTGACTAGAGGTTTCTTCCTTTCCATAATTCTTATCTTGTGGTTCATTAGCTGTGTCACTTCTGTTATTGAGTGTGCTAATTCGTTGTTCTCGATATCTATATTGACTTCATCCGTTGGTATGCCTTCTTTGTTTACTCTGTAAACATTTGTGATTTTAAAGCCCATATCTTCTAGTTCATCCTGGATTTGCTCATTAGATATGGTAGTATGTATATATCGTATAACAAGTTGTATTGGTTTGGTTGCTTCCCTAGTGTATGTGTGGAAGCGGTAATTTCTGGATCTCAGGGCTTCTTGTATCGAGTGCCAGTCTATGTCTGTTTTGGTTGTAATGGTGACACTTGGTCCTCTTGCCCTACACTCAAATTTTCCTGCTCCAACTCTTTCTAGGAGGACTGTTTGCAGTTCTCCAAAGTTAGTGACCTTTTCTAGGACTATTGGTGGCGGGCCTTTCTTCCTTGGTTGCTTCCTTGGGTCCTTTGGTGTTTCCCCTGATTGGTTGTCAGAAGGCGGAGGGATGATGATGTGTAGGTTAGAAGTGTTCTTTGATTGTTTTCGCTTGTCTTCTTTTTCTTTTTCCTTTTCCTTCCTCTCTCTCTCTTTTTCCAGTTCCTTCTTTTTCTCTTTGTCTTTTTCCCTTTCTTTTTCTTTGTCTTTCTCTTTCTTTTTGTCTTTTTTGTCTTTCTCAGCTTTGTCTTTTTCTTCTTTCTTTCTCTTTTCTTTCTCAGCTTTGTCTTTTTCTTTCTCAGCTTTGTCTTTTTCTTCTTGCTTTTTGATTCTTTCTTGTTCTTCTTTTTCCTTTGCAAGGTTTGTATGGTATTCTACCGTACGGACTGCATCTATGGTCTTCTGTTCTTCTGGGTCTAGCGGTTCTCCACTGTCTTGCTTCCAAAGAACATTATCGAGGTGTGAGTCGATATATCCTTTATCAGTTGTTTTTAGATGGTTGTAGGCCTCATCCAGTGTTTTGATCATACTTCCGCGGAAGGAGACTAGCGGTTTTGTTGTTTCTTTGAATTTTTTCGGTGGGTTGAGGTCGTTCTCTTCACATTCGAGTTCCTCGTTTAGAATAAACATACTGTCTATGTGACATTGGTGCAGATTGGGTATCTCCTTTCCTTCTTCTGCGAAGCGTTGAGCTTCTCTTAGTACTTTTTCTATGTCTTCATCAGTTCTGTACTTCATGTACTCTCTTGCTTCATCCAGTGTTTGGATGTGAACTTTGACTGCTGGTGTTTTAACTTTTTTAGGGCTTATTTTTTGTGGGTTATACTGCTCGGGGTTCATTTGTAGTAATTGAACCTTCTTAGTTGCTCTTCTCTTAAATATTGGATGTTGAGATGGTTGAGGTGGTTGCGAGCTTGGTATGATATCCTGGCTCTCGCTGTTTATTGTTATAGCTGTTTCCATTAGTTCATTCACGTCATCTTCACTTAAGTTGAGTGGGGGCTCTTGATCTGGTGAGGATGGTCCTTTCTGGCTGTAGGTGGTTGTCATGATAGGTGCGGTATACATGGTTGTTGTACTGGTATTTGTAGTGGTGCTAGTATAGGTGGTAATCGTATTTGATGCTGTGGTAGGTACAACTTCAGCGCTGGGGTTGTTAAATATTTGTTGCAGTTGTGCGGTAAGCGGGTCTGTGATTTGCTCTGCTTCTTCGGCTGTTATCGGTGTGGATTGTCCACTTCTTTGTCTTCTTCTATCTCTATCCTTTGAAGATGATGCCTTGTAGGGGTGATTAGCCATTTTGCTTTTGTTGACCATCTTTTTCTCTTCCCTTATCTTTCTTCTCAGAAAGTTCAGGTAGAAAGTGGAGCCTGTGGTTGTCTTTCTTGTTGACGAGCCTGCTCTGGAGATCCTTGACATGCGCAAGGAGTGAGAGTTCAGCGGAGCACAAGTAGTTTGGT